AACATGTTGGCATGATGCACTTAATTATCTTCTGCTGATCCCTCAAAAGTAAAAAATTACTTTGAGAAGAATTAAAAATTGCAAACAAGAGAGACTCAATCTTGCTGGCAAAAAGGGGGTGAAAAAGTGGGTGGAAAGCTGGTTGAATGTGTCAACCACAAAAGCGGTGAGATACGGTTGTAGAAAATTCAGGTTTTAAAACACAAGGAAATTGTGCAGAGATATTTCTCACACTGACTCGTAAATAGCATCTTTGGGTGTGCAGCATTGCCAAATTTACCCTTGTTACAGGGGCAGCTTACAGTGAGTTCCCACCATAGCCATACACCATCTGTTTGAATTACTTAGAGGAAAGGTTCGTCTCCTTATTCCCCTTCTATTAGATGTGACAGATTAATGTCTTTGAGGGCAGATCACTGTTAGGCTAAATCTTTCTCTGGTTATGATTCCTTATAACTATAAAACAGTCACAAGGTTATGGGGTTTAAAAAGAGAGGTTTATTGCAGTTTCCAGCACTGAAACTACAGGCTAAGTGTCTCTCCTTTTCTTTTTTTTTCAAGAGCAAATCAAATCCATCCATACAGACACACACTCTGCCTTCTCTCAGATGTACAGACCTGGGGGAAGAACACACAATACAAGAGCTGCATCATAGAGTCTGCAGCAAAACTACTAAAATAGCTTTTTGTGAATGCATACTAATCTTCCCTCTGAGTCCTCTCCACTTGTTTTAAGAACTGTTTGCTGAGCATGAGTTGGTGGCACCCCTAATGTTTGGGGCAGAACTCAGAGCCTTCGGCAGCTCTACCAGCAGTTGTTTCTACCAACTGCTCATAAAAGCTGTGCCCGTGCCTTGGCTTGAAGCTGCAAGGTATTGACTGGTCAGACATCTGTTGCAAAGCCTCTGGTTCAATACTTGTCAGACTCCAAACTAGTCGTTAAACTCAGCTGATGAACTAAATCCTACAGTCCTTAGGTCATGCCAGGAGCTGTGCAGGAGGCAGAAGGGTGCTGATATTGCTATAATTTAAGTTCCCTGCTGAGGAAGTTTCTGCAGGAGTGACATTTGTTCATGGTATTATTTTTAAGCCAGTTTGTAAGAATGCTGCTGTGGTCAGTAGGAGACTGATCTGAATTTTCCTTGGAGTGGCTTTTTCAGGGAACATAGTTTCTTTAAAATGGAAACATTGTTTTTCTCCTAGAAAAGCACAGTGCTAGATTTCTGATCAGCTGTAAAAGTAATAAACTGGCTTTTACCAGAAATGTTACACTGATCTAAGCTGCCTGAATGGGAGTACCTCTTTGTTTTGCTTTTCTCTAACTGATCTAAAAGGCTTCACTTGGGATTGGTTCAAACCATTGCATGGGATTCCAGATCATCCTTGACTGCTCAGAGAGCTGAGGGTACCTATTGACTGAGGTACCTATTCTGCTGGGCTCCAAGGGCCCTGGCCTTGCCATGTGGCAGCACAGGTCTCCCAGGGGCCATGCTGTGCCACAGGAGGCCTCAGAGTGTGCTTTGGGAGCTGCCTTCCATCACGGGACTCTCACCCAGAAGTGGGGCCGGGGTTACCAGGCTGCCAAGCTGCAGTGGCTGGGGCAGTGCAGCACTGTGGGAAGAAGAGCAGCTCAACATTGCACTGACTCAGAACAAAATTTCTCAGGTCAGGTCACCAAACCAAAATGAACTAACTTTGGTTTCAGTAATGTAAAATATTCCATTTCAAATGACACAACATGCACTGGTGTTCACAAATAGGTTTCCTTTTTTTTTTGTTGTTTTTTTTTTTTTTTAAACTTGTGAACTTCCATTCTACATAGTCTCTAATTTCAGTTTTTCTGCCCGAATTGGGATGAGAGCGAATGTTGAAATACTGGAATTTCTTCCTTTCTGGGGAGGAGGCAGCTGGTGAGTAAGACCAACCAGTTTCAGGGTTGGGACAAGTGATTCTGAAGCCCTGCACAGTGGAGCAGAGCAGGCGATGGAGGGGCAGATAGGCCATGGAGGGGAGGGGAACACACGGGCAGAAGGAGGGAAGTAGGAGACAGGAATGAGAAACAGCAATGAGGGCTAGAACAAAAGATAAGGAGGAGAGAGCAGAAGTTTCTTCTTGGCTCCCTGGGCTGTAGAACAGCTCTGTTTCTGTGCTATTACAGTGCTGGTCGTGCCTGGCTCAGCACCCTGTGCTTGGCCAAGGGTCCAGCAGGTGTGTGGGAAGGTGCCACTCCGAGAGCTCCTGTCCCAGAGCACGGGAGGAGCTCCTTGGAGAGGTCAGGGGCTGGGTGAGGTGGAGCTGGGGGTCACAGCAGTGCACGGCCAGGCAGTGCTGCAGGGTTTCACTTCTGCTTGCAGAGCAGTTGAGTCCTTCTGTGCAGATGGAGCAGGGGTGAATGCAGGATCAAAAGCTGAGCACTTCTGAGTTCTCATCCCGGCTCTGAGCAGGGCACTGCAGCCCTTGTGAGTTACAGACCCTCTGCCACTGAGTCTTTTTCTGCAAAGTAGAAAGCACAGGAATACTCTTCTCTGGTGGGAGTAGGAAGAAGCCCTAGTGACTGTTCTTAACACTGCAAAGTATTTATTATTTAGCAAGTTTCTTGACTTTTAAAAATAAACCAAATTGATACACTCCATCCATCAGCAGTGCCCTCGAGGAATGAGTAGCTAATTAGAGAGCAGGACTTGTGAAAAGACAAACCTGGGTTATGCACAGAACAGGTTTCTCCAGTATTTATTGCCTACGTTACTGGCCAAGCTTCCTTGTAAGTAATAGTCAAATAATCGGCCTGGGTCCTTTTGTGAATGGCTTGAGTCTGTGTGGTCCCTCCTTTGTTAGAGCAACTCATGGCTTCTGAAAGCTTCTGCACCCCCTGTTCTAAACAGCAGAGCCTGGTGGCACCAGCTGCTTCTGCCTGGAACAAACATTTGCATGTGACATTAAAAAGAAAAAAAGCTAGTTTCAAAATGTATTTTCTTTTCCTTATCCCCTCATTTTTTAGCCCTAGTTCAAACTCTGGAAATATTTAAAAGATTAATATATTTAGCTTTTGCTACAAGCATCTTTTAAACAAGTAAAGCTTTAAGAGGAAAGAGAAATCTTTCCTTCAGAAATAAGACAGCAGCCAGTGTTTGGAAATATTTTAACAATAGACCATATGGGAGTCCCAAACTATTAAGCTTTATTATTCAGAAGGCGGAAAATGTGGTTTGATATTCAATTGATATACAGCATAAATGAGAGCCGCAGACTCGGCTCCCTTGAGCTGGGATTCAGATGTTCTCTTGAATATAATAACCAATGCTTTGGCCTAGTTCCACAGAATGCATCCAGCCTGCTGATCACAAGCCAAGAAACTGTAGGCTTTTTTCCCCCTTCTCCTCTCTTCTCCAAACTACTTTCCTCTCCTGCCAGCATGAGCTTTTGGCCTGAATATAAATCTCCTGATACTGGATGTGTATAGAAAGTGGGGAGGATGCTAATGGTGCACAGCAGTGGAGCTGTGTGTGTGCATGTGTGTGTTTGTTTTTCTTCTGCTTTCATGGTAAGGTTTTCCCCTTGCAATGTGCTCTCAGGGGCTTACATTGGTCATCCTAGGTGGGAGCTTCTTTGTTCATGTCTCACTGTTTTTTTTGTAGTGCTGTGGGAGCAGGTGAATATCTTTTGGGGTTACTGTGAAGTGGTGCCAGACCACGAGAGTGTGGAATTTATTGGAGGGAGAGACTGGAAGAGGTTTCAGTTTCTTTCAGCTTCCCCCCCCACCCCCCGGTTTGATTTGCATATATTTATATTTGCTCTTACCCCTTTCTATCACATCTTTCTTAACTTTCCTGTGGGGAAAAGAACCCATAAAAGCTGCTTATAAAATACTATGTACTGTGCTGATTTACACCCATGTACCATATATACATGGACTAAGATTGCCTGTATGTAAAAGAAGGCTGAAATATTGATATTGTGATCAAGTTATGGCAGACTGGATCACCTATTTTTTGACACAGGGTCCCTTTGGTACTGACATCCTCAGCTGTGTTGAGTCCTATCTTTTCCATCGTCTCAGGATCTCTGTGGTTTGTGATTTCCCCTGAGTAGGCAGGAGACACCAGCATTAAGGTATCTTGCATTTTTCTCGGGAAGTATGGTAAGCCCAAGAAAAAAGACTCCCACTTTATGTGTGAGTCCAGGAATGCCTCTCATGTAGAACACTGGAGAGAATCTAAATTATGCATGGTGAATATGAAGTTTAGTTTTGGCTTCTGTCTTTTCTCCATTTCTCTTTTCAGTTGTTCATGATAGCTTAAATTTTCCGTATTTTTGTCTCAACCCACACTCAAATTTTTTCCTTTGGGGAAAACTGGAGCAAAATCAATTTTAGTGTAATTTTTCAAGACCCCTTGACTTGCACTTACATCTGTTTGGTGTGGGGGAGTGGAATTTTATCATAAAGCGTTTGATTTATTTAATGTATTCAATAAGCATCGAAGATGTGCCAGGTACTTTCTCAGCCCTTTGGATGGGAAATCTTGCAAGCTAAGAACTTAATAAACAAAGAAGTTCCAGAACTCAAAATTTCCCTGCTGTTAAGGTCTCCATATATCTAAGGAATAAACCAGGTTTGAACAAAGCAGATGCTAAGACTTGTAAAGTACAAAATGTCACAGACAGTACTGATGAGATCTGTAATTGAAACAACTATTTTTTTAAACATATTTCCTGAACCTGTTATCTGCCCAACTTAAAATCAGCTGAGATGTGCTCATGCAGGAGCTCTACTTTGATTGCAACTGTGAGTCTGTTTCTGTTGGTGAAGCTGCACCAAGGGCTCATCTAAACAGGGTCATTGATTGAGACCAAGGTAAGTTACAAATTGAATGGAGGAGCTATTCTCAGTTAACTTCATCATCCTAATGAAGAGGCCATTTGGAATAGTTAATAAGGAATAGCTGTTCTGGAATAATCCCTTTTTAAGACAAACCCTCACTGTTTCTGTAATTGCATTCCAGGAAGCTATTCTGTTCTGAATCAGCATGGGATAGAGTGCCTAGAAGACGTTCAGACCAAGCACAGCTAGCGGTGAGTGGGCAATACACACCGGGATGCCCTAGTGCAGCCATTCCAAGTGAGCAGCAGAATAGCCTAACTGCTTGTCTGTACATCTCTCTAAAAGGCAACTGAAAGTGAATATGAAAATCACAGTACGAAGGCCTCTGTCTTAGCAGGGATGAAGTCTGAGCTGCCTGTTACTGTCTGAGCATTAGCCTGGCGTTACGGACAGAATGCATGTCTCAACCCGTAACTGATCACAACTTGATTAAATGTTGGGGTGTGGAAAGGACTTGTGTGCTTTTTCCCAATGTGTATATTTACATCATTATGTGGGAGCAATCAATTTATCAAACCCATCAGATTATTCAATAGTGGGGAAAGACAATTGGTTGGAAGAACATGTGTATTGTTTTTAAGGTGGATAGAAAATTGGTTTCAAAGAAATTCACACAATCCCTTTCCTTTGAGGAAAACCTACACTAACAAACTAATCAAGGTAAGGGAAATTCAGTAATTTATAATTGCCAATAATTTTAAATGCCATGGAAGTTTTCCTGCAGCATAAAATTTTGTGCTTGTCCTTGCTAAGGAGGATGGGCTTGAGCAGAGGTGATGCTCTTGTACTTCAGTACATTGTAGTTGGGATATAGCTGCTGTTAATTCATGGTTCTCTTGACTTTTGGAATTCCTCTATTCCCTTAAAAGGGAAGGTGGCAGCCTGGAGTGGAGAAGCTCCAACTGCAGCCCTCTGGATGTTAATCCACCCCGACTTTCTTAAGCCTCCTACTTAAATCATTATCTTAATGAATCACCATTGCTGCTGTCTTCAGTGCTACACAGGAACATGCAAATTTTAAACAGCCTGGGGGAAAGTCCTTTTTGTCTGTAAAGTGTTCTGATACTTGCATTTAGATGTTACCATGATAGGTGCCTTGGATACCACTTTCTGCCTAAGCCCTTGGATAGATCCTGGGGTGTAGCTCTCCCCAGGGCCTGCTGGGCAGCTCTGAAAAGGGATGGATGTGACGATTCTGCTACTGACTGGGAGCAGCAGCTTGAGCTCAGGTGGTTGAGGCCAGATCACTCCACCATTGTCCTTCAGCAGAGGGCCTCTTGCCTGTGTTTTCCTGTAGCTTCAGGATGGCAAGGAGATAGAGGAGTGAGGATGAGAGTCCCTCCTTAGCTCTGCAATTGCCATTTTTACTTTAGGCAAGTTTCTTTATCTCTTCACTTGAATTTTTTTTCGCAGCTAAAAGAAGCCATGAAAATGTTCATGGATCAACTACATTTTCTCCCAAGTATGTATCAAGGAATTTGATACAATAGGAAAATTACCAGCTTGCTAGAAAAACATTTGTTTAAGGAAAAACTGAACATAGTGAAGCCACTGCAAACTGTGTCCAAGACTTTCAACATTGTGTTGTCCAAATTTTTCCTTGATGATTCAATTTGGCTACACATTGAGCTCTGCCCACTTCAGCTCTCCCAGCTGATCACTTGAGAAATCTTTATTTGTACATAGTGGATATGGAAAGAGAGCCATGCATAGCTTTTTCAGATGGCAAATCTTTGTGGTTATTTACAACATATATTGAAAGATTTGATTCCTTTATTCATTAAACCAAGAGCTGGAGAAGCTGTTTCATGCAAATGTCCTAGATGATAAGAGTACCCTTCTCAAATTGCAAAGTCAATTCATCCATTGTCCCTTTTCTGAGGCTTAGAAGTAGAGTCCATTCCTTTACTATGAGTGACTTTTCCTCACTAGTAGTAGTTCTGCTTCTGGAGCAATGGCAGGATAAACGTGGAAGATACCAGGTGAACAGAGATCCTTTAGTTTCAGCTAGGAGAGGACCTTATTAACAGAACTGAGTTTAAATGCATTTTCTGTGATAACATTATCAGTTGTCAATTCCTGTTTGGAGAGTTATGCCCACAAGAGGCCAGACCATTTATCTCAAGGAGGGCATCCTCATTCTTCTCAGTCAGATATTCTATGAAACAAGTTCAACTGGAGCTGAATATTTTCATGCTGAGAAGAATGCAGCTTCTCAGTTGGTTTTCAAAGAAAGGAGATATGAACAAACAGTACATGCTGACTTTTTGTAGCTCAAAGCCTTGACAGGTGTCCAGGTGTATGGCAGGAGATATGATCTGCTTCCTCACCTGCCTGTGCACTCCTTTCTGGAGAACAGCAAAGAACAAGCTCTGTGACTCAAGTGACTCAAACTTTTTTCCCTGCTTGGTGTGGCTCTGAACAGACTGCCACTTTCTTGTTACAGTGTTTAAGGCACTCTTTGCAAACTGCTTCACAGTGATAACCTTTCTGCTTACTGTAAGCAGGCTGTGGTGTTCTCTGTGTTCAAGCTCCTGGCTGGTTCGGATCCCTCATGGGATGGCAGCAATTTATAATACAGGGGCTTAATGAACTGGGGAACCATCTCTCAGATTCAGCACCGTGAGAAGTGTCAGAGTAGGGATTTCAAAAGAAATATCAGAAGGGAGCTGTACATGTGTGTATAAATGTGTGTGTATATTGTGCATATCTTTCAAAGGAGAAAATAGAGATGACTGACATTTGAAGCTGAGTGCAAAACTTAAACACAACTTTTTTTCTTTCCAGTCTTGGAAAGTTATGGTGATGGGTGTGGGCAGGTCTCTGGCTGACTTTCTGAATTGCCTTTATGTCAGAACTCCAACAAGAGAGATTTGGTGCAATTTCTCATCCTATTGAGTAAAAGGATGTTCTATCCCACATAGTTTCCTTAGGAAACTGAAGGAAAGGGATTCTTCTTCACAGATCTTCACACACTCAGTGGATTTTGCAGGCACTATATTCAAAATATTCGGTAAATGAGAGATCCAAAAGGAATGCTTCAATATGCTGAACTGGATTACTTTGTTCTCCCAGCCTTTGCACAGTCTTATGCTCGCGGGTAGTTGTAGGTTTTTGTCAATGTACAAAGGTTGTTATTTCTATAGTTACCTCATTCAAATTCAGAGGTTTGTAACTGTGGAATTAAAATGTGTTTGTGCTGTTATTTTGTTCATCTGTTTTGAGCTGCTTTTGTTAACTGCGTGTTCATAAGACTCTGCTCAAATTAGCTGCTTGGTTTTCTGGTCGGGTATGCTGAGATTCAGTATTTCAGTTTATAACTTTGCTTTTTGTAATTTTTCTCCTGATCTGTTACAACTGCCTGCCAGAAATTCTGAAACTGTGGTCAAACAAACTGCTCTGATGTTTCCTCCCAGTGTTTGCTAATTCAGCAGCACTTGAGCTGTTTATAAGAAGCACAGAGAAACCGCAGCTGAGGACTGTGAATGGCAATGCTGTGTGAACAAGTGATGCACACAGCACTGCACAGGTAGAGGGGTTTTAATCTGCAAGCATATCTGTCATTAATTTTGAGGCCTTTAGGAACCATGGTAGCTCAGCTAAGAGAGGGGAGATAAGCCAAGGAATTATATGGAACAGCTCTGTTTGGTGAAGCACATCTTTTGGGATTAGCAGGGGCTCATGAGGCAGGGTAGAGATTTGTGCATTGCACTGCCAAGTCTGACTGATCCTTCGGGACAGTCACTGTTATGTGGGGCCTCCTGGGAAATTTCTTAAGACTGGGATATTGGCTGGGACAAGACTGAGAAAGTTTCCTTGGTTTGTCAGTATAGACTTTAATGCAACAATGCCCCCACTGCTTGCTGGAGAGAACCATGTCCTTTCTGCTTCTCTGCTTTGTGGATCTTCTTGCTGGGTGTGCACGTGAAAGTAGCCATGAGCTTTGAGTGAGTGTAAACTGCTGTGCTTTTGGGAAGACTGAAAAATGGCAGGGATTTGAAAGCTGAGATTTTGACTGACTTGAATTGGGTAAAAAATTTGAGAGAACTTTGGCAGCAGTTGTACAGAGAAGAAAAATGTCACCTGTTACCTCAGCAGACTGCTTAAGAGCACTCTGAAGGGAGTCCCCAGAAAATTCTTGCAGAGAGACGAATGGGCAGCTGGGAGGAAATGCTGTACTCCCTGAAGAAACAACAAACTCTGGATGTTTACCCAAGCTGGTAAACCAAACAGAAACCATCAGTGTGCTGCTGGGTAAATCCGTGGTGTGCCAGTGTCTTAGGCACTGTGCAGTTCTAATCACTGCCTTCAAAGGTAATGGAGGGCTAGAGAAAAAAGTCAGAAAAAAGTCCCTGTGATTTCTCTTTGCCATAGAGAAGAGATGACTTATTACAGAAATTGCAGTGTGTTGTATTGTCATGAATGGGAAGGGGAGTAGGGAGTGATCCTTCACAGTTCCTGTGTTTGCTAAATTGATTCAAAGCAGGCAAAGAGGAGGCACTCTGTCAAGCAGCAGTTACCACGTGAAACTCATTGCCACAGGGTGTTATGGATAGCAGAAGTCTAAACAGATTGAAAAATCGATGAAGGACAGATAAGTTCTTATTAAAAGTGATGGCCTGGATGCAACCTCTGGATCAGGAGATCTTTAACAATTGCACAGGGTGTAAGAAGGAAAAAGACTGCCTATATTCTATGTCATTGCTTTTCCTCCCTCTCTACCATCCCTCACTATTTTTTTTTTCTTTTTGGCCCTATTCTGGCTACTGCTGAAGAATAGAGAGAGATAGACCTTTGCTCTTATAACTTGGCTATTTTTATAGATTAAAACTAGAATGGAAACCAGCTACCCTGCAGTGCAGGGAACTAGTTTTGCCTTGCAGCCCACAACTAATATAAAGCACACTGAAGTGAAGAGATTAGGAGTCAAATGCCTAAAAATGTATATGTGTTATAAAATGCCTCTGTAGCTGGCATATTTTTTTAAATTCTGAGTTAACAGGAAGCTGAGCTTGTTAATGAAGTGTAAGTAACTACAATGTTTCCAGTTACTTTTCACACTTTCTCCTCTCGGTGCTGCAGTCACTGATAATGCACCTAATGACTTGGGCATTTTTAACTCGCCTAGCAGTGACACCTTAGGTTGGAAGCTGAGGATGGCTGCCTTCCACAGAAAGGACTGGGAGGAAGC